CATTTTGAGATTCTTGAGAGAGTTGGAGATGTGGCTTACAAACTTGCACTACCACCTAGTCTCTTTGCGGTTCATCCGGTATTCAATGTTTCCATGCTTCGGAAATATCACGGCGATCCGTCTCATATGTTAGACTTCAGTTCGGTTCAGTTGGACAAGGATCTATCTTATGTTGAGGAACCAGTGGCTATTTTGAATAGGTAGGTTCGAAAGTTGAGGTCAAAGAATATTGCTTCTGTGAAGGTTCAGTGGAGGGGTCATCCGGTCGAAGAGGCGACTTGGGAGACCGAGCATGATATGCGCAGCTGTTATCCACACTTATTCACAAGCTCAGGTAATTTTTCTAACTCCGTTTGAGGACCAACGTTTGTTTTAGAGGTGGAGAATGTGATGACCCAAAATGTCATCTTTAAATATAATAAATAATTTTGTGTTCTAAGACCTCGAAAAGCACTATTTATCATTCCTCGACTTGTGTGCGCAGTCCGCAAAATTTTTTCGGAAAGTTTTCAGGCGAAAAATGGACTAAAATGTGAATTAGAGCTTTAAAACTCAACTAAGTTGACTTTTGTCAATATTTTGAGCAAACGGACTAGGATAAGTATTTTGACAGTTCCGGTAGGTCCGTATTGTGATTTGAAACTTAGGCGTATGTCCGGAATCAAATTTCGAGGTCCCTAGCCCGAGATATGGAATTTTGATGAAAAATTAAAAGTTTAAGTTCAAATAGTGACTGGATGTCAAATTATGTGCAAATAACCCCGAAATAGAATTTTGATGATTCCAACAGCACCGTATGGTAATTTTGAAGTTAGGAGCGTGATCAGAATTTTATTTGGAAGTCCGTAGTGGAATTAGGCTTGAAATGCCAAAAGCTAAATTTTTGAGAAGTTTGACCGGGGGGGTTGACTTTTTGATATCGAGGTCGGAATCCGATTCTGGAAATTGAAATAGGTCTATTATGTCATTTATGACTTGTGTGCAAAATTTGAAGTTATTCCGAATTGATTTGATGTATTTCGGCAAAAGATATAGAATTTGAAAGTTCAAAGTTCATAGATTTTGATTTGAGGTACGATTAGTTGTTTTGATATTGTTTGATGTGGTTTGAAGCCTCGACTAAGTTCGTATTGTATTTTGATACATGTTGGAATAATTGGTTAAGGTCCCGAGGGTCTCGGGTGGATTTCGGAAGGTAAACAGAATGGATTTCGGACAAAGAGGGTTGCTGGAAATTTTTGTTGCAGAAATTTCGCCACAACTTTCAGGTGCATGAAGTCGACTTTGGAAGCTTGTATCTCGTGATTCATAAGGAATCGGAACATTTTCAAAACATGAAAATTTTAGTAGTTTGATTCTAGTTTCCAGAAAGATAAACCATTAATTATTTGGACATTTGTACAGAAAATTATGATGGATTGAATGAAGGCTAGTAGAGTAGTTTCGCCAGAAATTTCTTATGCGTAGAGCCGACTTTGGAAGCTTATATCTCGTAATTCATAAGGAATCAGAAACGTTTCAAAACATGAAAGTTGTAGTCGTTTGATTCTAGTTTTCAGAAAGTTAAACCATTCATCATTTAAATATTTGTACATAATGTTATGATCGATTGAAGTAAGGCTAGTAGAGGCAAGTTCTGGTGGACTTTTAGTAACGGAAAATGGACTTTTAGTGACGGATGTGCAGAAACTTAAGGACCAAAAATGGTCATTTCCTTCATTTCGTTTTGGATTTTTGGAGCACGGTTCTTGAGCGATTTTCACGGAAAAACATTAGGGTAAGTGTTCCTTATCCTATATTGATTATATTTCATGATTCCATACTCATTTACATCATGAATCCATGAATGTATGGAAAACAAATCAAGATTTTTGCAAAATCTTCCAAAAAAAAAAAATTTAAGATTTGGAGGTCGAGTTGTTATCGGAATTTGGTAAAAATGGTATGGGTGGACTCGTAATTGAATGGGTTATCGGATTTTGTAAGTTTTGTTGGATTTCGAGATGTGGGCCCCACGGACAAATTTTGAGCTAATTTCGAATTTTATTGAAAAATATAATATTTTCTTATGAAATGGATTACTATAATTTTTGTTGACTGTATCGAATTAATTATGACTAGATACGAGTCGATCAGAGTCGGAAAATCGAGGAAAAAGCATAATACTTGGTTAAATTGGAGCAAGTCGAGGTAAGTGACTTGTCTAATCTTGTGTGGGAGAAATTCCCCTAGGATTGATAATTGTAATGTGTGAAAAGTCGTGTACACGAGGTGACGAGTGTGTATACGGGCTAAATGTGAAAGATTATATTTTAAATTGTGTAGATCACTGTTGTGCATTAATTAAATTATTTTATTTTGTTATATTCTTCATTATTGATTTAATGTTTATATTTTAAATTTGCTTGACCATTTCCTGCTAATTGTTTTATCTGTTTAGTTGGAACATGATTTCTTTTATTCTGTGCATTATTTGAAGGTTGCTTTTCTTTAAATTAAATATTAATAAAATGAAGTATTTGACAGTTTTAAACTTGATATTGAAGCAACGTATTAAAGATTTTAAAATATTATTTTCCTGAATTATTTACTCGTGAATATTTTTGTAAGATTTTCGTACTCATCGTGATGGAGCAGTGAGCTCTTTATTGTGAAAAAATATTATTGTTGAATTATTTTGACATGAGCTGTGAACTCTTTATTGTGAAAAAATATTATTGTTGAATTATTTTGGCAAGTTAAATTATTTGAGTACCTGAGGTGCAAATTGTGATATATTGTGATATTGATACGCATGCGGTGATATAAGGTCTGGGTATTGAAACACATGCGGTGAGATAAGGGTGGCTAGTAGGGGGAACTACTAGAAGTCATGCGGTGTGATAAGGATGGCTAAAACGCGGGATGTTATTTTGTGAAAAATATTTTCTTTAAAATAAATTGTGAAGGCTCCCGCGGTGAGATAACAAAATGAGATATTGTGAATTTATTTATGATTTGGGACTACGAGGCGGTACCTCGGGAGTGTCCTTGTTGATATTGATTTATGGCCGAAGGCCTTTTATTATTGTTGTGATTTTCTTAAAGTTGAAAAGAATTTTGTTTTGTTTCCACGAGGCATTTATTTACCATTATTTGATGTAATTAAATGTGACACACTAATTGATTCATTTCCATTATCATTTTATCTTATAATATTGTTTAAATATTTTACCATGCCATTATTTATTCTCCAGTAGAGCCTGACCTGACCTCGTCACTACTCTACTGAGGTTAGGCTTAGAACTTACTGGTTACCGCTGTGATGTACTCATACTACGCTTCTGCACATCTTTTTGTGCAGATCCAGGTACATCTTATCAGGCCACACATCAGTAAACTGGCTGTACGAAGAGACTTCGAGGTATATCTGCCAGCGTCCGCAGACTCCAGAGTCCCCTTCTATCTTACTATGTTGTCTTCCTTATTTGCTTTAGACTCTGATGTATAGAGACTTTGAGAATAAATTCTTAGAAGCTTGTGACTTATTTCTACCGTGTTTTGAAAGTTGACATTGTTTGAATTGTAGTTTATTTATTTCAGATATTTATTATTCCGCATTGATAGACTTATCTAGTTTTAGAGATTAGGTGCCATCACGACATCCTACGGAGAGAATTTGGGATCGTGACAAGTATGTGCACATATTGGACTCATATAGGAAAAGGCAAAAAGTAACATTTAAGACAAGTTTTATTTTTATATTCTTCACAAATATTAATATATAAATAGCCTAAAAGTCAAAAAAGAATAAAATAATGAATGATCCCTATTGAATAAATTAATAGCCATCTTAGAAGCCATCTCCCATTGTGTTTTCGTGATAGTTGGGTTTGTCAGTTTCAGTGGCTAGCTGCTAGAATTAATTTTGGCTATAAAATGTATAATGTAATTTGTGGCTACCGATTGTCATTATTTTTTTCCGGATGACTAGAAGTGATAATACAACATAACCTTATTATCTGACCCACCGGAAACCCTTCACTTAAATCTCGTCACCTTAACCTATTCTCTATCAAATCAGTGTTGAATCTAGAACGACATCACAGCCATTACTTAAAAAAGCTCAATGTTCAATCGGAGAACGGTGCTGCAGCCGTTACGGACTCTGGCGTCAAAGTAATTTTTGAGAGGAGAGAAGTAAAATAGATTTGGGAAAAGTTTTGTACCTTGATCTAAAAATTAAAACTTTAAAAATTAGTTTAAACACTATGCAATGATAATGTTTTGAGTTTCATACCAAACATGTTATACTTGTTGAAGATATAATTAAATAAATAAAAATGTGTTGTTTTTAATAGGCTTAAGCTTTTAGATGAGATGGTTAGACATTTCAACATAGTATCAAAGCAGACTCAGGTCCTGGGTTCGAGTATCACCATCACCCAATATCAAATAGAATTTCCATGTGTTTGGCTCGTCAAAGAGAATCAAGCCTCCACGTGCAAGTTTCATATGATAATTAACATGAAAATAGAATAACCTTCTTGTTATAAGTTTTCTTGCAGTTCCGATATCCGAATATATGAAAACAAGGAAGGTGCCAAACAGTTTATATCCGATATGTCGTTCCATATCAATATTGTTTATAGAAAAATGGATCTGCATCAATTAATGAATGTCCAGATTCACCCTTACCCTAATTTTGTTTACACCCTTCAAGTCTCCTAATAATTATCAGAATATTTCTCTGTTTGAAAGTATTAATTCAAGCATCGATTTGTTAAATATAAATCCTATGGGAATGAACAGACTTGGGAAGTTCAACAAAAAGTCCTTTGAAGAACTCAAGAAAGATGCCCATTGGTTTTCTTCTTATTTATGATCTTTTCATTAATATCCACCGAGGCAACTATTTATAGATCCTCAATTCATGTTCAATCAAATATAAATTTAAAATATTTGAGAGAAGAAGTATGAGTAGATGCAATGTAGTAGCTAGTGATGCGAGGAAGTCTACCATGATTGGCGACTTACCAAATGACATACTACATAGAGTACTAGAGCTTATACCCATCCAAGATGCTGCAAAAACTAGCATCTTATCAAAGCGATGGACACAAATATGGTCTACGCAGCCACACCTTGTGTTTGATCGCCACTTTTTTCAGTATGTATCTAATAAGGACGCTTCTGTTGCAAGTATAATTCATAAAATTCTCATGCAACATACTGGAAATATTCTGGGATTTCATCTTATGTCGAAGACACATGAACTGTCACAGTCAGATGTGGATCAATGCATTATCTTTGTCTCGAAGCAGGGTATCCAGAAACTCACTCTAGATTTGGCGAAGTCCAATGCTGGAAAATACAGGTTGCCTTGTCGCATATTTACATGCTCAACGTTGACACATTTGAAGCTTTCGAGGTGTATCTTTAAGGTGCCAGATGGTACCCAATTCCCTAATCTTGTTTGTCTAGAGTTAAATCGTTCTGAAGTTGACCGCCGTAGAGGATCAGAAGGCTCTCTTATCCTGCCAATGCTTGAGATTTTGAAGTTAAGATGTTGCATTGGTGTGAGTCGTGTTAATATCTTTGCTCCAAAAATTGAGAACTTGTCAATCGTTAGCAGCTATACAGTAACATTTCAGTGTTTTAATGTGAACCCTATCTTTACAAGCATTAAACACCTCTGCTTCAATGGAACATCTTTAGAGGTGAGAAAATAGCCTTGCTTCGTTTTTTATTCGTACATTTGGTTCGAGCAGTGAAAACACAGAAACGCAGGGTAAGATTGCATGCTTACAATAGACCCTTGTGGTTTGGTCCTTCCTTGGACTCCATGCATAGCATTAGTTTAGTGCACCGGACTCCACAAGTTCCTAAACTTTTTTTTTTTTGTTAAATCTTCGTCTCTACCCCACATAAATTGGAATGAAAGGATCAATATGTATCTTTAGGGAATGTTGGTTGACTGACTTGGTGCTAATATTATATGTCTTTATTTTCAGGTTGATGAGACATTGAGTCAGACAACGAAACTGTTGTCTTACTTATCAAGGGAAGAAAACCATGTGAATGAAGCTCTAAGAATGATTCGAACAGTGAGGTTAAGGAAATTCAAGGGATCAAGTACTGAAATGTACTTGATTAAAGTCCTCCTTGCTCATTCTCCAAGACTTGAGTGGTTGATTATTGAACAGTGCGAAAAAACAAATGCCACAAGTTGTAAAGCACACTTATGGGAACTGATAAGCTTTCATCGAGCATCACCAATAGCAGTGATTAGGTACTAATAACCAAGATCAAGGACGCATCAATCCCAGTGGCGTATTAATTATTTTGTGAAATGCAGTTGTGGTATTTAAACAGAATTTTGAGTCTGCAGATTTATCACAACTTGACGGGATCGATCAGTCTTTCATTTTTCGTTTAAGCCAGTCCACTGACTCGATATGTTCTACAAATTTTACTTAATTTATTTGTTTGAACTTTCTATTACCCTATCTAGGATATCTGTTTGTATGTTCTCCAAGAAATTATGAAAAATGACATCTTTTATTCAACAAATGCTTTGCCCTGCATATCTTGTGGTTGCAATAATCTCATGTGGGCGCAATATTCCACAGTTACCTACACATTTCTGTTCAATCAGTCATAAATATAATAGCAACTATTGTGATATAAAATAGCATGATAGAAACTAAGGGTCTACCAAACTATATAAAGAACCAGTTTCTACAGAACACACGCACACAACAGTAAGTAAATGACACAGTTTTTACGTGGAAAACTCCCAGCTCACGGGATTAAAAACTACGACCTACCCTTGTAGGATTTCAACTTTACTACTGAGCAAACTTCAGATTACAAACTGTTGTAACCTAGGAATTAACCTCTTAATCCCTCACTAACTTGTAACAACTCTATTGCAAAGACTTACAACTCGACTAACTCTAGCCAAGACACAAACATATGGTTTATGATTTTATAAGGGTTTCCTACACAATGCTTCAACTAAGCTAAGTAGGAATTACAAGTAAATTGTTTTGACAAAGATGCTACACAACTAAGGACATATGATGACTCAATGCAGGAAACTGGGCCTTCGTTATGTTGCTCTTTGTTCTTGACGCCTTCAATGTCACTTGTAGGTTGGCAATACACTTGAGAGAAAGCTTGATGAATTCTAGAGTATGCAAGTGTTGTTTTGCCTTTCTTTCATGTTAATATTCCATAAGTGACATCACTTGAATGATGTAAGCATGTTTGGTACAAAGGCATTCCCCATAAAGTGACTGCTTCACTGTTTGTACTGTTGTGTGTGTGCAGAGGAACAATTGCAGTCACTTTACAGCTGTGGGGAGTTGACTTATACTGTCAGCAAAGGAACTGATATCGATCTGTTCCCTCTGTTGTTTCTTGGACTCTGAAAGTTGGAGCATGTCCCAGACTTGAGACTTGTTGATATTTGAGTACTCAGAGGATGTTGAACAAGTTTCCTATCTGGTTCTTAACATTAAGTTTGTCAGATCATTAAAGCATAGAAGGACACATAACTTATCAATTTTCCCCTTTTTGATGATGACAAACTTGTAATTGAAATTCCCACTGAGCCTGTGTTGTTCCCCCTTTTGTTCCCCCTCAACCCTCTTGTTCCCCCTCAATTACTTTTTCCCCCTTTTGGCATCATAAAAAGATTAGGCACAAGCAATAAGCAAAAATAAGTCTAGCCTGGTTAACTCATACAACATGTGTGCACACAAACATGACTAAAAACAGAACAAGAAGGAAAGCAAGATAAGCAGAGCAAAAGGACAGGATATTCATTAATTTTGATAATAAAATAGGGAGCAGTTCCATATGTTACATAATCATCCACAAAATAAAAACAACAAATGGAGTACTAGCCACCAAATATATCAAAACATAGGAAACCAAAACAGGGGACAGACAACTGAACTTGACATTGGGAAGGGAATGACTCTAAGGAGCCCTGGAAGGGGGAGGTAGAGAGGAAGAGGAAAGAGTTCTAAGGAGGATATCCATTCGAGCATTTGCAGACCCTTGCTCATTGAGCAACCTCTCCTTCAGGTCCTCGACCTGTTTCTTGAGATCAATATTTTCTTTGATCAGACGAGCAACCTATGCATTTTGTGAGATACTTGAACCAGGTGCCTCCTGGGCTTGACTAAGCTGACCTTCAAGGATAACATTCCTTGCCTTCAACTTCTTTATCTCTTTATTGGCGATACTCTGAGCTTCAATCAGTTGCGAGATAGTGGAATTGCTGCCAACCCCTCCTTTCGTATCGATACACTCACACTCTTCCAAGGTGGTTTTGGAGAAACTCTGCTTGCGAGTACCCATGGTGGCCATTCCCAGGGGAACTTTGAATAACTCAAAGACTTTGGTGAGAAGAAACTCATAGGGCAGTCCATGATTACCATCCTTGAAATCTGTTACCTTTTTCATGTGCTCAATCATGATTCTCGGCAGATTTATAGTGGAGTATGCATCCAGAGCCTCTATGAGGAACATATCTGCTCGTGATGTAATGTAACATCTTTCTGCACGAGGGACAAACACTTTGTTCACCATTTCTAATAGCAGCTGGTATACTAGAAGCAAGGCCTTCTTGTGCACCCATTCCCCATGCTGGACTGCATCATCCTTCAGAATGGCATTTCTGAAGTTTGAAGAGCAAGTCCCTTCAATGGACGATATACCATCAGTAGGCACTCCCAAGATGGTTCCCAATACAGCCTCATCAATCACAAAGTCAACCCCATTTACCTTCAAGCAGATGTTATCATCCTCAACAATGAACAGATCGACATAGAAACTATGTACCTCAGCCTCATACACTTTGGGACTCTCATGTGTGAACATATGTGTCCACTATTGAAATTCATAAATTTCAACCAGTTGTCACATTCCCGTCAGGTCAAGAATGTCAGGGGCAAAGGTTCTTCCCCAAAGCACCTTCCATTTTTCCATATTTTCCTGTCCAACATCCTTGGTCACACTAACCTTGGCCTTTTTCGAGGAACCAGGTTCCTCATTGGCGCCAGCCTTTCTCTTTACTGTTTTCTTACACTTTTTCCTTCCTCAACAGATTTCTCAGACGCCTTCTCAGACACATTCTTTTCAGACACCTTTTCAGCACACTCTTCAACCACTTTCTCACCAGAGTTGTCCACCGCAATATTGCTAACTTCCATCCTACTCACAGATGACTTCTTACCAGATTTTGGAACAACAGGTTTTTTGGAGGATTTACAGATCAATGGATTAGGTTCCTCATCCACCTCGTCATTAACATTTACCTCAAAAGCTGTAGGTACTACCTCGTCATGTACTAATTTGCCACCCTTCGTCAACCTCATCCTTTTCTTTTCTTTCTTATTTTCTTCAGCACTGACTCAAGAGTTTCCTTCTTTTGCAGTCTACTAGCTGGCATTTTTGGAGTAGGCGGTTGGGGAGTTGCCCTTTTACTCCTAGCACTAATGAAACTCGCAATAGCCACATTATCATAGTCTTCTTCACTCCCTTTGTTTTCCTCCTCAGACAGAGATCTCATCTCGGGAGGAACAATGGCCAATGGCTCAGCATTCCCGTCAGGTCAAGAATGTCAGGGGTAAAGGTTCTTCCCCAAAGCACCTTCTGTTTTCTCAGATTTTCCCGTCCAACATCCTTGGTCACACTAACCTTGGCCTTTTTCTAGGAACCAGGTTCCTCATTGGCGCCAAACTTTCTCTTCACTGTTTTCCTACACTTTTTTCTTTCTCAACAGATTTCTCAGACGCCTTCTCAGACACATTCTTTTCAGACATCTTTTCAGCATACTCTTCAGCCACTTTCTCATTAGACTTGTCCACCGCAATGTTGCTAACTTCCATCATACTCACAAAGTAATATATGGCAGTTTTGCTCTGTAATTGCCATGCGTGTATACCTGTAATGATATAGAAATGAGTTAGACCTTGCCAGAAAACACGTTTTACCTGTATATTTCTTTCATAGCTAATTATTGAGGGACCAGGTCCTCAGCTTGACTTTATCAACCCCAGTGCAAAACGATTCTTCTCAAAGTGCTCTCTGCTCAGTGCTTTGGTAAATATATATGCAATTTGATCTTCTATGCTACAGAACTTCATGCAGATGAGCCCTTTTTCAACATTGTCTTTGAGGAAGTGATGTCGCACATCAATGTGCTTTATTCTCTTGTGTTGAACTGGATTCTTTTCCATGTTGAGAGAACTGGTGTTGTCACATAATAAGGGCACACAATCGGAAAACACACCAAAATCTTCCAACTGCTGCTTGATCCATAGCAATTGAGCACAGCAAGAAGCAGCCGCCACATATTTAACTTCTGCAGTTGAAAGAGCCACTGAGTTTTGTTTTCTTGTACCCCATGAGATTAGACATGAACCCAAAAAGTGTGCCATGCCAGACGTGCTTTTTCGATCCACTAGATAACCAACATAATCAGCATCAGCATACCCGATTAAATCAAAATTGTCACCTGAGGGATAGTAGACAACCAGGTCATGCGTTCCTTTAAGATACCTTAAGATTCTCTTGGCAACCTTCAGATGAGATTCCTTTGGATTAGATTGAAATATGGCACAAAGTCCCACATTGAAAACAATATCTGGTCTATTTTCTGTGAGATATAGGAGTGACCAGATGATACCTCTATACATGGTTTCATTCACATGAGAACAAAGTTCATCCAAATCCAGACGAGTGGCAGTGGAAATAGGAGTATCAATGATCTTTGAGCTTTCTATTTCAAACATTTTCAGAAGTTCTTTGATGTACTTTTGCTGACTTATCATTGTGCCCTTAGGAGTTTGCTTGACTTATAGACCTAAGAAGAAATTCAATTTCCCTATTATGCTCATTTCAAACTCGCTTCCATAAGCCTTGCGAATTCCTCACACATGGAATCATTTGTTGCTCCGAAGATGATGTCATCAATATAGACTTGCACAATGAGCAGGTTCCTCCCCGGTTTCTTGAGAAATAAGGTGTTGTCAATTTTTCCTCTTGTAAAGCCGTTTTCAAGTAGAAATTTAGACAATCTTTCATACCAAGCACGGGGAGCCCGTTTTAGCCCATATAATGCCTTGTCAAGTTTAAAGTGGTTGAAGCATGAGGAGTCGAAGCTCAGGATGATCATGACACTCAAATCCAAGTGGTTGCTTGGCAAAGACTTCTTCTTTTAGAAAGCCATTCAGAAATGCACTTTTGACATCCATTTGAAACAGTTTGAATTCCATATGAGATGAAAGGCAATGAGGATTCTGATGGCCTCCATTCGAGCAATTGGAGCAAAGGTTTCATCATAGTCAATCCCTTTTTCCTGATTGTAGCCTTGAACTACTAGCCTTGCATTATTCCTTGTTATGTTTCCAAACTCATCAAGTTTGTTTCTAAATACCCACCTATTTCCTATGACAGTTCTGTCAGTAGGTCGAGGAACCAGGTTCTACACGCTGTTTCTCTCAAATTGATGAAGTTCATCTTGCATAGCAGTAATCCAGTCAGCATCTTTCAATGTTTCCTCGATATATTTGGGCTCAACTTGAGAAAGAAACGCAGAGAAAGCTAGTGAATTTCTTGACTTTGATCTAGTTTGAATCTCGGAGTCAAGAGGAGTGATCACATTTTGAAGAGGATGTGAACTTTTGTGCTTCCAGTTAGATACCTGAATCTCATTGCGAGAGGATCCAAGTACTTCTGAATGTGATCCTTGGTTGACGTGAGATCCGCTTCTCAGCTCAGCATCTGGAGTTCCCTGGACAACATCTACCACCCTGTTCTCAGCTTCAGTTGTTGTGATTGAAGGACCAGGTTCCTCCACATCAGTTGGAGATACAGCTGCACCATCATCATTTGACTCCTTGACATGACTCATCATGCCAGCTTTTCCATTTGCCATGTCAATGACTTCTCCATGAACAATTGACTGCTCTCCATCTTGATCCATCTTATCATGTGAATCTTTCTCACATAGGTGGTGAGATTCATCAAAGATTACATGTATGCTTTCCTTAACACATTGAGTTCTTTTGTTGTATACTTTGTAAGCTTTGATTTGTGATGAATAGCCTAGAAATATTCCTTCATCACTTTTGGCATCAAATTTTCCAAGTGCTTCCTTACCATTATTGAGAACAAAACATTTGCAGCCAAATGTCCTCAAATGTGTTAGCTTGGATTTCCTTCCGTTCAGCAGTTCATATGGGGTTTTGTTCAGGAGGGACCTGATCATGCACCTGTTCACCAAGTAGCATGCAATGTTGACTGCTTCTGCCCAGAAAATCTTCACAATGCCACTGTCAATCAACATTGTTCTTACCATATCTTCAAGAATCCTATTCTTCCTTCCCACAACACCATTTTGTTGAGGTGTTCTTGG